TGGTGTATTGTGTCATCTGCACATCTCTAGTCGTGCATTTCCTTTAGTTACATCCCCTTATATACGCGAGAGTGATCACACTTAGGCGGATATAGACAAAGAGGGAACGGTCGCGCAATAGAACAATGAGAATTCATCAGGTCAATGCACAAACATAGGATACAGTGAAGAGGATAAAGTACGTAAAGTGAGTCGTAACGGTAAATACCGTTACAATACCCACGATGTATGCATGTCACGCAGAAGTAATGACTGTCGTATACGATACTAGAAACACTATTGATCAAAAAGGAAGCATCAATTCAACCGAAAATTATGCGACAAGAAAATTTTCTTCATCACCTGTACAGTGCAGAAATACGGTCAAAAATGACTTGATTTCAAACCATTAACTATTTTTTCTAGATTGATGACACCTCTGTTTGTTATTACCAAGGGGAAAAAAGCGGATCCTGATGGATCTTGGTGGATCCGGGCGGATTCTACTGGACCCTGTTGCTCCTAATAAAGGGTATTAGATTGCACAATCGATTGACTGGAGTGTACGGAAATCTATTAGAAGCTACTTCAATCTACTAAATACGTCGGAGTCTACCACAGTGCACCAAAAACTGATTCGCTTTACAGCAATCTTCAAACAATGTAAAAAACATGGATCCTGCTGGATTAGGGGTGCGCAGCTCACGGTCATAAGTGCTGATAAGCGTGAGTGTGTCTTCTCCCAATAGAATGCAAGAAATCAATAATAATGAACCCACTTTAGCTATATTCATATAAAAATACATTATAGTATTTCATACAGTTTTTCATCTACCATATTTAATCGATGTATGTAAATACTTGTTACTCGATGAATTGACAATAAGTGCTAGAATAGGCTCATTAAAGTTTGGAAAATCATATTTTCTGAATATTTGTTTCTTAAACTCGTTCATCTTACTACCGAAAACTACCAAAGAACAAAGCTAGGATCTTATTATATATGACTAGTAGGGGCAGCACATTACTATCACCGGTAATAAGTAATAACTGTTATTTCGAATTAATAGTAGCCAGGAAAATTAATAAAGTAATAAGGAAGAAATAAAGCAATAAAGAACTTGATCGTGGAATTGTTTCTATTTATCGATATATTTCTATTTTCTCATCACTAGGACTACAACAGCTCTCAGATCGTAGTTCAGATCAAATGAACCAAAGAACTGCTGAAACATTTCTATTCACTGATTTGCGCACAATCGCTAGATTACCTGCATTCAATCGCTAGTATTATTTGGGCCGTAATTAAGGGTAACCCATTCGATCCCTTAGGTCCTATCTAGATGTGATCCCTGTGGCTTTTGCATCCTATCTGGAGGTGGTCCCCGTAAATTTTGTGGATTTACACTGGAATGGTTCCTTTAGCCATTTGGGACCTACTTAAGGGTTGCCCTTATGAATTTTTTGGGTCCGCTAAGGATAGTACTTCAAGTTTGAAGATGTCACTGCTGAACAGGGTGACACGTTAAAGGGACGATGTTTATATGGGATTGAAAAAGTTATAGAAACTGCCAATAGTTACGAATAGGACTATGCCCAGACCGAGACTTTCCATCTCCGTCTCAGTCGTCGTGGTCGAGGTTTTGGTCTCGCTCACTCTCTCTCTTGTTCGCGGTTAGCCTCGGTTCTAGTATTGATGAGTGTTGGTTTCGGTTCATCCCTAGCTACGACTGAATAAATTATAAGAATCCCCTCCCACACTGCGCAAAAGAATACAAGGGATGCCACTATATATGTACTAAAATGTTGCACAGATCAGCCCTACTCAGTCAGACAAGTAACGAAAAGATCGACGTTTTTATGCGTTAAAAGCGCACATTTTAACGCTTTAAAAAAATACTTTTTTGTGAGAAAAAAAACGAATCGATACATGTTAATGCTTTTAAATTTGTTTTTAGTCAAAATAAATTTTTTTAAAACGCGTTAGAATGTGAGCTTTTTACGCATAAAAACGTCGCTTTTTTTCGTTACGTGTCTGACTGGACTGGGTAGGAAGTTCTCACATAGTTCTAATTACCATCCGGGGGTAGGCCCAGAAAGGTACAGGAACACCCCTTGGTAGTTTCTTGAAAGTTCTAGGTATCATCTGTAAGTAGATCCCAAATCGCTAAAGGGACCAACCGCGGGTAGACCCTAAAACTTCTGACTACTCCCTCTGACTGAGTCCTTTGAATTTCTAAGTACCACCCATGGCCAGGCTCAAAACACTGATAAGAAGTATTACCCTTATGTGATTTTTAAAAGGCTCTGAGTATCACCTATAGGTAGGCTCCTAATAGCGATAGGGGCCAGTTCTGGTCTGATCCTGAAAGCGTCTAATACGATCTCATGGTAGGTTGCAAGTAGCTATACGAGATCCTCCTGTATAGATACTAAAAAATTCTAAGTAATATCTTTGGGTCGGTATTTATTACGGTAATAATTATTACACGTTATTACTTATCAGTTGTTGCTTTTATTATTTTCAATTTTTGAACTTTATTACTCGTAATAAATAGCAAAAGTAATAATAATTATGGATATACCGCTTACGCTTATGACCGTAAGCTGTATACTCGGATGTTGCATCCTACTTGATTTTTAAGTATCGAAAAATTCATTGGAACCTAGCAGAATTCATCGGAATTGACTAATTTGTCAATCTTCTCAGTTCACTCATGCTTCTTCCCCGCAAATCCTACGACTAATTCCTCCTTTTTCCGATCAGCCTTTTTGGATCCTGATGGATCCTAGGATTCAATAGGATCCGCTTTTCCCCCTTGATTATTACAGTAAAGCTGACGAAGGAGTAGCACAATGGAAAAAAACAAATCTAGGTATATGACTTTTTTTGCCGCTGTTGTTAAGTGTATTTATGATGTTTTAATAATTGTAAATTGCATTACTTTGTTTGTTAGGCAATGCAAGTCAATATACGAAGACTACACTGCATGTCGAACATAATTTGCATGATACAGGAGTATAAAAGATTGATTTGTAACTATTCAATATTTTTTTAACAGACTATCTTTCATTTTTTTAATAGCTTTTAATGAGAAACATACGTACGTAAAATATAAACGCTGTTCTAAAAAAATAAGTCGTACTGTTTGGAATATGTATTTTTCTAACATCGGTGTCGATCCTGTTCAACTAGAGAACAATATTTTCTAGTTTTAGCATCTTCTTTGCATTGATAGTCCTTGGGTACTATGGACATGATCTAGAAAGCAATCAACTATAATCATACCCCAAGGTTGAAACAGCTGTCGTTTTCGAGTTCAATTAATTTTTCATAATCGAAATAAAAAACATTGGCAATATGACTGCTCAACGAGAAATTCATTCGTTATATACAATATCATTGAAGAACTATACACATGATTATTAACTTAATCTGGCAATAAATGAAGGAAAGAACTTACTTTTCCTTTCATGATATGCTTACAAACATGAGAGTTAGTCCATTTTTAAACTAAAAATCACAATGAGGTGTCAATGTCAATGCATACCGTCCGTTCAAACAAATAAGAAGATAGTAGTAGATTTATTTTACGTAATAATTCGAATTAGAAAAATGAAAACATTATGGATTATCTTCTGTTTACAAACATATAAGCGGAATACTATGGTAACGGTTGCCCTGCTCGTATTGCCTTTTCAACCTCAGATTGACTTTCGTTTCATAGATACCACTACGGATGTGACGACGTTTTAATGGCACTGGATCGTTTTTTGATACGTTGTTTATAGTCTGACCAACGTTCATGAACAAGTTCGTCGTTGAAGCCTCAATACTTTTCGAGAATGAACATACGTAGTATTCATGGTGCCACGGTAGCATCTGCCAATGAAAATTCTTCACTCGAAAATCAAGGTGTCCGAACTTGATCGGTGTATTTCTTGAGAGAATCAACTAATTCAATAAGAACTTTTTTTGTTTGTCTTCTTCTTGAGCTTGTGTAGTTCGGTAGAGTGCAGGTGTAACCTTCTTCGTCACATGATCTATCCATAATCGAATACGTGCATGTTCGAAACTATCTTTTGGTAAGAGTGGCGTATAATTCAGAAATTTGTCCTCCAGAAACTCCTTTTCCTTTTTATATGGATTCACTTCTCGATATTCGTACGAAAGTTCTTTTGTGAAACACGACCGGAATGGAGTGTTGAAGTGTGTAGGGTAGAAATATTTGGGGG